TCCTTTCCGTTCCCATCCTTTTCTTATAAGAAAAGATGTGAAGGTGAAGTGGATATGACGGAGGAGTAGACAGATAGGAAGAGGAAACACTGCCTAGCTGAGTGTCCCTTCCCCCGTTACTTAACATTAGCTTGGGTACACTACGATAATTTTGTCGCCCTCGCCTGTCAAATTAGCTTTTTTTTTATTTTTTAATAGCTGCCCATATTTTCTTTGGATACTCGTATCAAAACATTGAGGTTATCAGTGCCGCTGGAGGAGATTTGTACCACCAGGTGTCCTCGGTCCGAAAATTGCTGGTCGCTCGCCAACGACGTATACTTTGTATGGGATGATGAAGTTGACGTAAACGTAGAGCCTTCTGCAAATAACATTTCAAAAACAGGTTAATGTCGAGTCTGAAATGAAAGAATATTTTGTTGAAATAATTACTAGCTGATGGCCAATTAGAGTTTTTATTTTTTTTATAATAGATAAAGTATATAAATGAAAATATTCAATTTTATTGCTTCTTTTTTTTTTTTCTATTTTTTATTATTATTTTACATGACATAAAAATTTACAATTATTAAGTTTACCAAAACGTGTTATTAACCAAAATCCTAAAATAGAATTAATAAACTGTGGTAAAAGGTAGTACTTGTACAAGGTATTTTTATTATTGAACTTGGGTAAAAAAAAAAATGAAATTACCATGTTACAACCATAAATAGACAATGAAAATAGGCGGCAAAATTCGATCGTTTTCAGGCGCTTCATACTTCAAAGTAGTATAGTTTTGTGGGTGAGATCATTCGACTTCCACGGTATAGTTTTGATCCACTTAAGACAAAAACACATTTATTGTAGATCTTACAGAAATTAATTTAAAGTAAACTAATGAAACATATGCTAAAACTAATGTGCTAACATTTGACATCTAATTTACTTACTGTTTTTTTTAAATTATTTATATTTGGTTACTGTTCATGCGTAAAAACATGTTTACAATTAAAGTTTTATTTTGCAAATACTAGATGGCGCTGCGCGGCATGAATTCATGCAAGCGTTTTGTTTTATTGTTGATGTGGTTGCTATTAACGCCGGTTCACTGAAATTTATTGTGTTATTTATTACTGGTCTCTGTACTTTTTTTTTTTTTTTATACACCCCTAAAATTAATTTAC